GGAATTAGATTGCTCAAAAGGCTCGCATCACCCGTCATGTGTCTTGAACAGCCACTGTCTAAGTACCAGACACCTGGGTACTTAGCGGCTTCCTGCATTAGGAGGAGGAAGATTTTGGTACCCAATTAAGTTTGGGTCCGGAGTAGTTAATGGTGTGTGTCCCTACATCAAGTTTGAAGTTGCAGGGAATTTTCCTTGCAGCTCTAAACTTGTTGGGATTGTAATCATAGTTATAGGCATAAAACTTCCTACGTGCAGGAGGTGCTATTTCCTGTTTCCTCCTAGCAAACCTAGGTTGATAAGACCTATAGTTTTGTCTAGGTTGTGCATAGTGTGTCCTGTGTCGGTTATAAGCATACTTGGGTGGCACAAATAGCTTCTGGGGTGGAGGGTGACTATATCTTGGCATAGTTCTCCATTCAGAATTTCTTGGAAAACTCCTGTCTACCCCATAATGAGTATAGCCTTGTGCATAATGGGGGTTAGAAGGTTTTCTTCTGAAATTATTTCCTTTTTGAGGTCTGTCCAGCTTCCTATAGTTCTTAGGAGGGACTACCTTTTTGGGAACTTCTGTTGGTTTCTCCTTTTCCTTCCCTTTCTGCTTATTAGGTTTGGCAGTAGGTTTGGGAGGGATGAAAGTTGTCTTCCCTTTCCTTTTGGAACTAGAGGAGTCAAACCCAAGTCCTTTGCGACCCTTATGTTTGGTCGTTTCAAGCAGCTTGTTCACTGCTTCTTGGGACTTGAGTATCCCTAGCTCTTTGTTGAGGGATTTCACCTTTTCAGAGAGAGATTCATTTTCAGTCTTGAGTTGAGTGATCTCATTCAGTTGACTTTTCCGACTTTCTGTCAACTTGAGATTCTCTTCAATCATTAGTTTGTTCTCTTCTATTAAGGATGTGTGTTTGAGATTTATCTCCTCAAAGTCTTTCATCATCTTTTTGAACTGGTCAAAAAGATTTTCAGAAGTTGGTGTGCTATAAGAAGATGAGCAGGAGGTTTGTGAGGTTACCTCTTGATCAGCATCATCTTTGGCCATTAGGCAGAGAGTGTCATCTTCTGACATAGTCCACCTATCCTCATGGTTGGACTTCTCAACTCTGCGCTCCATGCAGACGAGGGCTTCTTCATCCGAGCTTGAGCTGGATGACTCGTCACTTTCAGCAGCAACCATTGCTTTCTTTTTCTTCTCGATCCTTTCTCTTTCTCCGTACTTCTCCACTTTTGGGTACGGGCATGCTGACTTCCAGTGGCCAGGCTTCCTGCAGTTATAGCATAAATAAGATTCAGGAGGGGAGTCACTTACCT